ATATTTTTCCCCGAGTCAAAGATTCATGGAAAAATTTAATTCGCATCATGTGGAGTTTTTTCTTTTTGCATCCGTGGATTTAATTTCCTATCTAAAAAAATAGGAAGGATAGAAATAAACGCTTTTAGAAATGACTTTTTTCAGAAACAGAGATTCTAACCCGTTGACTATTGGTCAGATAAATGGACAATTGGTCTGTAAAATTTACAGCTTGTGAAATTACTTTTTAGCTCGCATTTCAGCTCACTTTTCCGAGGAGTATAATCTTTGGAATTTACAAGAGAAAGCTTCTAGTATTTTCTTTTAATTTTGCCTAGCGCATGTTCTCTCCGTTGTAAGCTTTCAAAAGGAAAGTGGCAATTCTGCGTGTCCATTTAGCAGTCTTCGTCACTGCAGGAGGTATTATTGCTCAACTGTCTCGAGCGTCACTCTTTTATGCAAGCTGAAACTAGAATATTGTACCTTATTGGATAGTTGAAAATTGCAGTTGGTAGCTGTTTTTTTCTCTTTAAATTAGTCATGAATAAAGATTTTTTTTAATTTTCTTTTTCGTTTGCAAAAAGCCAATGGTATTTGTATAAATATATTCTGATTAGAAAGGAATTATTTTAAAGCTAGTTAAAGTTCGATCGTTTCGACAAATTCTTCTATTGCAGATCAAATTTTTATGTACCAAAGAAGCCCACAGAATCTGAACCTAATCCGTTTAGGAGAGGTAATCCGAAGAGGAGGAACTGAAAGTTAATTTAATTTCTAATAAATAATTTCCCAACTAAATCCGTAACACCGGTCATACACGAAAAGTAATGACAGGCATGGGAGAAGAGCTCCGGCATACTCACCGGAAAATTCGGCTTAGCCAGTACTGTTAATACATTAAATAAATAATATTAACAACACTACAAATTATATTATAATAGTGGTCAGAGTTTATATATAACAATATTTATATATTTCCCTAATTACTGAAATTTTTTTTGTCTCTGATTACAAATCTGAATTCAATGTAACAGCAATATTGTAAAACGTACTGTTACGTCAAAACAAGAAATCTTTTTAAATCTAACCTAACGTTTCTCGGTTTTAAATTGGTTTCAGATTTGAATCTAACACTGAAAAACTCTGAAAATTTCACAACTATCAATTGAAAAGCGAACGGTAATGTAAAAACTACAAAAATCCCACCGCTGCCACCTAAATGATAATATTTGAAAAAATCTGAAAAAATCCTATTCTGTTGTCACTAGAATAACGACAATTTGAAAAATACCAAAAAATTCTATAGCTTGATACGTTTTTCATCATTGGAAGCAACATCGGAATGAAAAAATTTTGTATTTAATCGAAAAATCCCACCGCTGCCACCTTAATGGTAACAAGTAAAAAATTCCATTTCGATACCGCGAAATGTCAATGGGATTTTCTTCAGTCGCCGCATGTATTTTTTTCGTCATCTAGACATAAGACAATAGGATAAATAACTACCCCGCATTATTTGAACAATTAAGTGTATTATTTGCCGAAAGAATAAATAGAACGAACTTATGTAATTAGAAACCTTTCTATTCTGAGGTTACCCAACGATACTGTTGACATAATTTTGATATCGATATCCCATTAGTGTAATATTACCTAAAGACGCGGAAGTCACTGAAACGAAAGCGTTGATTGGCGAAAAAGTCTCTCATCGAGGGTGGAAAAATCCGTTATCTCTATACTTCCGTGAAAATTCGACTCGCATTGAAATTGGAAGGAAGAAGTTGGTGAAAAAACAATCGTTTTTACCAAGCTCTTGCAGCAACAATCTGGCATTCGGAAGTTAAGAACTTGGACGTTCCACGTACCAAGTTTTGCTTGAAAACGATTTTGCAGTCGCTTTACTCCAGTAACTTTTCGTGTACCACGAGGGAAAGAGAGAGAGAGAGAGAAAGAGAGTAGGTCTGCTCTATAGAAAGAAACTCCCGGAATCGACTTGTCTAGTTTTCAAATGTAGGGCATTCCTACCCGAAGCACAATTTTCTTTTTACAATAAAGAATAAACCAACTCAATTTTGATACACCATGACCCGAATTCACACAAAAATATATCACCCCAAAAGTTTATTATGTAATAGAGCTGGGAAAATAATAATAGAGCGAAAATTCATGTAGAGGAATGATAAAACTTGCCCCCCCCCTCTCTCTCTCTCTCTCTTCTTATTTAATCTTCAAAGCTGAAAAAAATTAATGTGTGTAGATTTTTTTTTTTGGGAAAAAATGCAAGGAAAGAAGAGACGTTTAAAATTATTAAGTTTTCTTCTACACAACAACCTTTTCTCTACTTTCGACAAATGACGTCGTAACAAAGTACATAAAGATTGTAAATTATGAAACACGCTCGAGATGCTTGTGATTTTTCCTTCTACTAAAAGCAATTTATTCCCTTTTTTTCGCTTACACCAAGAAGGACATTTTTACTGCTTACCGTCGTTTTAACCAAGATATAAACCGCCTCGAACTTGTGCCATTATAACTTCACAAATGAAACTGAGGGTTATTTTAAAATGTTTCATTGTAAGAGAAGTTTTTCTATTCTCTCGAGGCTGAACATGATTTTTCCTTGCACTCTTTTTTTGGATCAATAAATTTAACAGCATGTGACTGTTGGGTCACGTGTTTATTTCGAATTTCTTACCTTAATGGGGTTTTACTAATATATTTAATAGGTGGTCCAACCCTGACTGTGTTTTTTAAATTTAAATCACAATTTTTGTTGTGACGCACGGACCGTGAGAAAGACCCATGGCCTCTCGCACGGACCGTGAGAAAGGCCCTGGGTCTTTCTAACGGTCCGTGCAAGAGGCCATGGGTCATTCTCACGGTCCGTGCGTCTGATACACTTTAACCTAAACAGATATCAAAGTAAACGCGATTTTTTTTTCGAAGAAGAAGTAAAAATCGAAATGTCTTTCTCAACCCCTTCTAATTTTTATTTTACTCTTAATTATTTATTATAATTTTTTTTATTTCTAGTAAAGTAATTGTTTACTTACCTGGATAAAAATTCGATAAGTCGAATAATTTTTAAAAGGGGAATAAAATTTTAAAAATTATAATTATAGAAAACAATTTATAAATAGAAATTGAGAGAAATTTTTTACGTTTATTTTTTTTTTTTTTTGACGGTCTATGATACAATGTAAAATGACAAATCACCCCATATGCTCGATTATAAATATTTTATGTAGCGCAACCTGAACTGAAATTCGTAATACAAATTGCAATGAATAAATGAATCGTGAATTTCGAAAAGGGCTCAACACTAATGTTTCATACAATAGGCCATTTTTAAATAATTCATTTATGTTTTTCGTGCTTTTCAAAAATAAAATATTTCAAAAATTATTTTTAAAAGAATGATTCTTTTTCGAAATTTACGATTGTATAATGTAAAAAAAATACAATAACAATGCACGATAAAATTTACCGCAAACTTTAACACTTGCACAACATTCGAATAATTTTGTCTCATTTTGCTTTTTATATTTAAGGAAAAAAAAAATGTAAAAATGTTTTCAACACCAGATTTTGGTGAGTAAAATAATTAGTTTATCTTATACTAAGTTTAATGAATGGGAATTTACAAAAGACTTTTTGTTACAAAAAAGAGTTTTACAACATAAGCGTGAAATGATTCTTTGACATAGTGGTTAATGCAATTTTTAACGCTTAATCTATTTACTCTGTCCAGTGATATGTACAAAGAAGTGTTTATTTACAATGCTCATCATTATACTATATATAGCTCAGTATATATAGCTTCCTGTAGTGATGAAATATGATTGACACTTAGTCATTAATAAAAACCGCATCAATCTTTATGAAAATCAATGAATTTTTTAACAGTTCGAAATCAAATTTAAAGCAGTGAATTTTTGACTGATTTGAAAATAAACTATTACAAGTATTTTTTAATAAAGAAAATTAAAATTTTTTTTTAAATTTTAAATGAAAAAATTAAAAAAAAAATTTTTTTTGAAATAAAAAAATAAAATTTTTTTTTTTAATTTTAAAAGAAAAACATTTTACAGTATGAAAAAAATACTTTTTTGTCCTAGCTGCACGAAAAGTATGTCATTTCGGGCACTTAAAGTGGGCGCAAAATAACTGATTCTCGCCCGGGGCCGGGGAAGCGGGCGCAAAAGTTCTTTTACGCCCGCTGACGTCACACAAGTGGGCGCAAAAGTACTTTTGCGCCCGCTTCATCTAGCCCGAGCGGGCGCAAAAGTACTTTTACGCCCGCTTGCTGTACTTTTGCGCCCGCTTCGCTCGTGCCCTGAATGCCATACTTTTCATGCAGTTAGGACAAAAAATTATGTTCGCAATATGGGCGCAAAGGTGATTACGACTTTGGCGAGATTTCGGGACCTCGGGGACACTTTCGCACCCTCGGCTTCGCCTCGGGCGCGAAAATGTCCCCTCGGTCCCTTCATCTCGCCATCGCCGCAATCACCTATTTTGCGCCCTTGATACGATAATAACTATTTCTGCATAAAGAGAAAGTATTGTTTTAAAATAAAAAGAAATGGAAATATTTTTTAAATTCGTTTCAAATTAATGTTGAATCATTGAAAAAGTTTGTCTTCGATATTTTTTCAATATTTCATCACTGATTTTATTGTAAAAAATTTTTCACTAACAAAATACGAAAGTAGATGGGTAAATTCATATAAAATTGAAATTTATTTGTTATTTTTACGATAAAAAAGTAAAAAAATGAAAGTGAGGAAAAATAAAAAAAGTGAAAGTAGATATTATTAATTATTTTTTTGCTGTCGAAATTTAACAATAAAAAAGCAGAGTATTTTTACAATAAAATGTTTTTTAATAACTAAATAAATTAATTTTTACACTATTGAAAGTAAATTTGAAAATAAAAATTTTTTTAAATTTTTATTTTTTTAAAAATTTTTTTAGTAGAAAAAAAATTTTTATTTTTCATTTCAATTTTATATGACAAAACCCATCTTTACATAAAAATAATGTCAATCATTCCTTTTGCAGTACCAGAAAATAAATGACATTGTACAAATAGAAAATAAACTGTTTCTGTTATTTTCATTCTGTAATCAATAAAAAGTCCGACATATAAATGTCATATTTTCTTCCAAGTCATACTTTTTAATAAGGGCAGGTACAATACATTTTCAGTTAATACAGTTCCATCTTTATTCTCATTTTTATATTATACAACATCTCCGCAGTCGTGAAGGAAGAATTTCATATTTCTTATATTAGGGGTGGAAATGATAGACTTTCAATATACACGGTTGATAAAATATGAATTATTTAATGAAGATTTATCGAAATGTAAAGTTAACTCAATTGTTAAATATTAAAATCCGACTGAATGTCGTTGAAAACGAGGTTGAAAAAAAGAAAAAAAAAGAAAAAAAATCCATTATAAAAAGTGATTTATAAAGTGAAATACATTTTTTCAAATCGACTTTAAATTAAAATAAATGATTCTTTACCAAAACAGTCAGACTGAAGGTGCTTATAGAATTTTTTTTATGAGGCAAATTTTCTCAAGTGTTCCAACCTCGAGAATTTTTTTTTCGGAAAAAAACCTTCCAAAATCGTATAAAAGAAAATTTTATTAAAAATTTTTTTAAGGAAGTTTTTTTTTTATTTTCTCAAATGAAACTAGAATAAATTACTTTTTCTTCTCCTACTGTAATTAAAAGACTCGAAAATAAAACAATTTTACCGAATTAATTACAATGAAGTCTCATTAGATACATTTTATTCCGGCTTTATTACTGTGAAAACAAGACGAAAATTTAAAGCCAAATCTTGATAACTCATCCGCATTACGTTAAATAGTTCCACTAAGACTATAATTTAGCCTCGTAGCAAATCCATCTTGAAGAATACTTTCTCAAGGTAGAAACACTTGACATAATTCAGCTAATAAAGTTTCCGAGTTAATTTTTGAAAGTATATTATCTCCATCGTTTAATTTGAATTAATAAAATATCAATGTACATTTCTCATCATTTTGAATGAATTATCGATTTTCAGTTTCTCGATTCTTCGTGTAGAAAAAATTGTTTTCAAAACAATTTGCTGGCTTGACTTAGAAAATAGCGGACATGATCGATAATCATCATCAAATACAGGTACACACACAACATGCAATTGCTCTCGATATACAATATCAAAACACGCGGAGAAAATAATATCTGTAATTAAATAAGATAGTTTCTCTTTTTTTTGAGTAAAAATGGTTTATATTACATTTTTGAAATAAAAGTATTTAGGCATCATTTTCTCCGTGTGATTGTTGAGTCAGCATTTCCACTTTTAGGTAAGCCAATATTGTTTGTTGATCTTACGTTTGTTGCACTTGGAAGTTTCGCAAAGTCTTCGTTTTGACTAACGTTGTGCTTTGGCTACTAGAATATCATCCTGAGAAGTAGGACGACCGGAAGTAACGTCGCTGCCATTCTGTCACCACTTCCGTGATGCATTGCCGCTGGGTGTTCTTCTGAAACAAAGCCTCAGCTAGAGTGTTTCATTGTAACGTTTGCAATTGATATATTCTCGAAATTTTATTGAACTTTTACTTTTTTTTCTTGGCTTCAATACTTGATGGCAATTAAATAATTCAATTTCACTTCGATGGAGAATTTATTTTTATCCTGACGTCCAACTTTCTTTCCTCTTTAATTAACAACTCATTTTTAAAGCAGTAAAACTATATCGTTTGGCGGCTGTTTTTTTTTTATTTTCAAATTTAAAAATCTAACATCAAATTCGTAATCAGTAACCCCAAAAACTCTTAGATACCAAATTTTATAAAAATCCATCAAATTTACAAATTTTGGTCCGCCATATTGGATCCGCCATTTTGAATTTTGAAAATCTGACGTCAAATTCGTAATCAGCGGCTCATATAACCCTTAGATACCAATTTTTATAAAAATCCATTGAATTTGAAAATTTTGGTCCGCCATATTGGATCCGCCATTTTGAATTTTGTAAATCTGACATCAGATTCGTAATCAGCGACCCCGAAAGCCCTTAGATACCAAGATTTATAAAAATACATCGAATTTAAAAACTTCCATCCGCCATATTGGATCCGCCATTTTGAATTTTGAAAATCTGATGTCAGATTCGTAATCCGCGATCCAGATAGCTCTTAGATACCAAGTTTTATAAAAATCTAACAAATTTAAAATTTTCTCTCCGCCATATTGGATCCGCCATTTTGTATTTTGAAATCTATTGTCAAGTAACAAAGCAGCGACCTAAAATGTTCGAAATAAAAACCTGACGCTGAAATTAGTAGTAAACTATAAAAGTATTACTTAAAAACTTAAAACTCTTTCAAATTGCAATCACTTCTTCCCAATTGCAATGAAAGTTCCCCAACCAAATTGATTCCAACCACGATAGGATATTAGAAAGGAAAATAAAATACCGAAAAAATAAAATCTACAGAGGGCAATTAGAAGGAGAGCTTTCAGTATTTAATGAGTAGTTAGAAACGAGAATTTTTTACCATTAAGAATGTGAACTCGAACGCTATTTGGATGGGCATTACTTGGCGCGCAGGTGTAGAGACCAGAATCCTTTAGAATTGCTTTCTGAATGAGTAAACGGCTGGAAGTCACGGGTCCCTTTTCGGTAACCAGGCTAATACCACCTCTTGGAGAGTCGAAGTTAATCGCCTGCGAATAAAGAGAATACATTGCGATATATATATAGTACGTACACGTAAAGGTTGCATTTGGCTTTATCGACGAGAATTCCCGCTCTCAAGTATGATCATAAATGTTATTAGACCTTTCTTCTGTTTCAGCTAAAACTGGTTAGACAAGCATAGTGATTACCATTGTGGTTCATTTCAAAAGGAATATTTACGTAATCTTCATTACATTTGTGAAAATACAATTGTTAAATCTTACCGCATTGTTGGTGGCTTTAAAAATTTTACCAAAAAAACAATTCCAACATTTTTTGTCCTTTACAAAATAGGACCAGTTTCATTTAGATCGATCTATGGCACTTGAGTAGGGGTTTATTTTTAGAGCACCCAAAGATGTCATGTTGTTTTCTATTACAATTTAACGTGGAGTAAATAAGCTTCTAAGTAGATGGCAATCTACCTCTATATGGTTGGAATACTCATCGCAGATAGGAAAAGGGAAAGTAAATTCAACCCTCGAGGATGAAAAACTTTACTATCTCTGCACAACAATCTTTCCATTTCAGGTTGTATTCTTCGCGTCAGAATTGTTGAAAATCAACTGATTTTATTACTTATTAAAAAATTTTATTTTATTACTCAATCTTGGTTTAATTTCCCACCCAGATAGAACAATACAATTGCTGTAATACTATCAATATTGCTGTTAAAGACAAAATAAGTTAAAAATAATTGTTCCTAAAGTCAGACACAACTTCGGTAAGTCCACTTTGATACTATCATCTGGCTCATAAAATACAGAAGGCTTGTTCAACATTCCTGGTATTTTTCAATTGAGAGAACTTTGCTCTAAACCCTTGTGTGCTAGCAGTTAAGTCGAACCCTTTCTTAATAGAAAGGGAAACTCTTTTTTAATATTTTTTAATTAAATTAAACTTGTTTGGCACAATTTGAAATTAGTAGAAGATTCGACCCTGAATTTAAAAATTATTTTCAACTTGAATTTAAATTTTAACTAGCATATAAAAATGTAAATAGCAATCTTCACTGTAATGTATCGAAATAGCTAGCGGCTATTTTAAAAAGAACTTGAGAATATTTTACCTCTTGGTTGTGGCTCCAAACCATGGCTGAGGGTGGCTCTGGGGCGTACTTGACGAGGCACGTGAGGTTGATTGTGCTGCCCTTGTTGATAAAAAGGTCCGGTCCACCTACGACATCGGTGATTGGTTCTATAAACAAGCAGAAAAAAAACGAAAGGCATAAGCTCGTTTCGAAGATCTTATCTCAAGTTGCAACGTTGCCGTTGCTCGTAGCAACTAAGAAATTGAGAGAGAGAGAGAGAGCAGTCACTTTTAGTTCGGAAAGCGAAACCTTTATAGTATCAGAGATAAGGTCGCCTTTGATGTGCCTTTTACTCTACCCGCTGAGCATAGATCGCGTTAAGGGAATGCTAGACGAGTCGTCTCGCCTCATCTTTACTCTCTTTTTCAAAAAAAAAAAAATAAGGAGAGAAACCGGGCGAACCTTTAACCCACCTAACATCTATTTCTGGTATCCTCGGGTAAAAAGCTAAATCCAACTATCCCAGAAACTATATAGGATTGCTTTTTTTACCCCACATAAACCTTTATTTGAAAAATAAACACTTCATGGACGCACATTTTCTTCAGAAATTTTATGATACGTAAAATAAATGTTATGCTGGTAAATAGTACTTTGAAATTAAAGATATTTCTGTTCCACAACATTTTACTAAATAAATATTCATTTAGAATTCAGTCCAGTAATTAAATTGCAAATTGGAAAGTTTTAACTTACATTGAGATTACAAAAACAAATATTTGAAGATTACTATGCACATTGTAAATTTTGAGAAAATAACATCGGAGTCGTAATTCAGGACGCCGAATAGTCAATAGTGAGCTAAAAATTGTAATTTCTTCCGACATATTGGATCCGCCATTTTTAATTTATCAAAAATAACATGGAATTGGCAAGCAGGAAGCTAGGAAAGGGGACATAATTATTCTTAGAACGTCCAAAGGATGGCCATCCACTTTTCCCTTTCTTCTTTTCCGAATAATTTCGTGACAAAAACTGGAGGGGATGAGGATGGATTGAGAAGTTAAACGGAGAGACGAAAACGACAGTGTTTATTCAGAAGTTAAGCTGCTGACATGAGGGAAGATTTGCGATGTTTTGGATCATGGAGTGCTAACGGAAGGAGAATAATAATTTGGTATGTTAATTTCTGCTGCTTGTAATTATGATTGCTCTTAAGATCTGGGCTTCGTCCCCTAGCTGCTGTAAAACCTCTCCCTTTTCTTAAGGTAAACACTGAATCTGTCCAAAATGAGTCAATGAGCTAATAAGACTCTGCTGAATTATCAATTTTACGTTTCATTTGAGAACTGTTTGTGATGACATTTTTACCTCAGCCATACTACATTTAAGAAATGTTTGATTGTCTTATCTATCTTCATTGTTTAATATAAAGAATAAGTTCACACATTAAAATAAACTTAATTATTTTTTATTGCATTCACCACAAATGCGTTTCCCTGATTTCGCACTTCCAATTAAATTAAAACAACATAAGACAAAAATAAATTCGATCTTCTAAAGTACAGGATAGATTTACTTAAATTATTCGGTTTCTCCTTTGACTTGAGTAACAATGAACACTTTACAGAAACGAAAATAGTAAACACATTCAACGATCTAAGTCGCTAGAGGAAAGACGTATACGGTTCTAAGCAAACTCCACAAGGAAGATAATTCAGATGTCAGTAACATGAGAGTGGTAAGAGCAAAATCTATTACAAAGCGGGGATTAAAATCAAAGGAAAATTTAACAAGAAGCCTTCCACTCTGAAGGATACAAAGGCGATTGGAAGCATTGGTAACCTAAAGTAGGTAAATTAAAGATTAACTGTTGAAATTCACGGTATGAATTGTTTTACCCAGAATTAAGAAGTGGCGCAGACATAAAGATTTTTACTTATTCCGATCATTGTGCGCGGATAGTATTACTTTAATTTTGATTTGTGTGGTGTTAAACCGGAGCATTATTGCAATTCAAAACAAAAACCTCAAAATGTGAATGCAATTTCCTTTTTCCTATATGACATAACGGTAATATTCTGATTGCGCGGAACTTTTTGACATAAAATCGAATTCTAATGAAGAATTCAATATTTCCGTAAATTGAACGTTATTAGATGTAATTTTAGATCTAATTTCAGATAGTGTATATATGCATTATAAATAGCCAGTCGTTCGAAATACCATGTAGATTACATTTTCCTTTTTGAAGTTTAGATCTCCTATTTGGAATTCTATTTGAAATTACAAAACTGGCAATTTCTCTCTTTTCATACTTTTCTGCATCATTTGGCCGCTTGGCAAGGAATCCAAGTCAAATCGAGACAATACGTTACACGTACTAGCCGGAACGAAAATCTTTTGCGACGAAGACATTTCACGAAGAATAAAACACGTTCTGCTTTTCCTTAGATCTAAATTAGAATGACCGAATTACGAACAGAAAATCTATCTTTTCTTTTTATTTTTCTCATCGAAAAATATCTAAAGATAGTTAAAAATACGTTGGAATTTCAATAAAAATAATTTATATCTCATAGAGAAAATAGAAATTTTCTAATCGGAAAAATTTGTGATCATCTATCGTTTCATTGTCGACAATGTACATTACAAACTCGTGTCATATTTCTTTCCACTCGCCTTACTGTGGTTCTCCGCTATATGGTCTTTTGGTAATGTGATATCGGCTACTTTAGAGAAGCAAAACTTTAAAACCGATAATACATAGGAAACATTATTTTCAACTTTCAGACAGGTATATATTTGCGATACTTTCGGTTCATTAGCTTTTCACTTGGTTTAACTTTTTCAGATTCAGAGTGGGAACGATTTTGTATATTCGAAGAGGAAACATAAAGAAATGAGTTCCGTTTTTCAAAATATATACGGAAATTGTTTTTTTTGTTTTCGGTCTCCCTGCTGTTGGTAGATGACAATTTTTTAATAGAGGTAGGAAACGGAAAAAAGCGGAAAGAGGAATTTGTCAATTGACAATTAATTTCGAATCTCATGGGTCTTCAATGAAATTGGAAATTCGTCATTAAGTGAATTTCCCATACCGATCACGTTAGCTACATACCTGAGGAAACTGGTCAGCAATTGACTCTAATTAGTATCGAAGATCAATCCTTAAGTGCCCTTTAAGTGTGCATTATGCCATCGAGAGTCATTACGTCTAGGTAGTTGTATTTCGTGGAATAATTTTCAGATACTCATCTTGCTACTTGGTACGAATGCAGCAGAAAAGAAAAATAATTACTAAGTAAAAATTAAAGTCAATACCAACATTGTTGAAGATCTTTATTTTATCAGATTTTAATTTTTCACTAAAGATACATTTAATTATTCGGTCCGTTTAGTCGCGTAGAGTTAACATTTGAAAAAAGAATAAAGAAGACCTACTTAATTTTATATTTACCAAAATTTGAAATTTTGAACCACTGACATTACCGACGTACCCATAAATTTTGACTTCTCTGAAATGCCAATTATTCTCCAGCTCTGGTTCAAGTAGCTAGAAAATAAATCTGATTTAGTTCCCTCGTGGAATATTCAAGTCTGACCGATTTTTAAAAGTTTTCATCATATTTTTGATAATGGAAACTTTTTTTCCTCGAAACTCCTGTTGCTGCATGTAAAAGTCCACATTACTTATCTATGTTCACAATTATTGCGATGGGACTTTTATTCAATTAATAATTAAATCCAGCATCAAGTCCAACAGTGAAAAATAAAACTCATTTGCAGGCGAATTATTTCAGTAAGAAAGTATTGTTAATGTAACATCCCGTCGAGATGGCTATGCTTGATATAAAATCGAACAACGTGTGCAAGAATAGATAGTTCATTAGCAATCTCCATGGTCCATTTGATCCTTATGACTGCTGTTGAGCCTTCCGATTCTCATATCGCAAGTTTGCTGACCGAAGGAGGTCGAGGAAAATCCTCGGTGGTCGATCGCCTTTTGTTCGAGATCCTCGTTTTCTGCGGGAGAATGTTCATATTATGTGACAACACAGTGCTTTGCAGGTATATTGCTTCCCATCATTATTCGACGTCTTTTTATATTCCAATCTAATACCACTCCATGTAATATCATATTCCGAATCACCGTCTTGAAAAAACGAATTCAACAATTTCCTCTCAATAGTTTGATAAAAAAAACGTTACAACACTTTCATTAGATTACTCTACAATTCTAATTAATCAAAGAGGAGGGATCAAGTACTCTACCGGAAATCCTTTTGGAATCCCGAATTCTCAGACTGAGATTTCATTTTATTATTGTTGTAGAAGGTTAAGTAGCATTATCAGCTTATTAGAATTTGGATGTGATTCACGAATATTCAAGAACACCAGGAAGAGGAAAACAATTCTTTGTTTAGGTCCTGTCAAAACACTGTCAGCAGCCATATTGAATTAAGGACTATCGAAAGTTGTGACTATCTGTTTTATCGGCCGCAGATAATTACCGAGCGTAGATAACAAAATCTGTAATTTGATAAGTAGCTCACTTGAGACTCACTATCAAAAAGAAAGCGTTGCTCTCTGCAGACTATTAGGAGTTTTCCTAAATAGTATTCTGAATTAACTGTGAAATCGTCAATTTAATAACTGTAAATTCAGAAAGTGTGTCTAATGTGTTAATCTCCTTAATCCTCACTCTTTGCGGACTATTAGGAGTTTTCCTAATTGTCAATTCAATAACTGTAAATTCAGAAAGTGTGCATAATGTGTTAATCTCCTAACTCTCACTCTCTGCAGACTACAATTACAGATATCAGAATTTGTAATTTAATAAGTAGTTGATTTGGGACTCATCATCAGAAAGAAAGCGTTGAGAGATGACGCTAATTAAATATAATTCCTTTTCTAATTTAACTAAACTAAATCACACTGTAGATGATGTTTTTGGTTCAACCTATTGTCACATGTTAACAAACCTTATTGTCAATTATGATTCTTTTCGTGTAGTTTGATTCGTGGTAAATGTCATGGACTAAGAAGTTATAAGTTCTAATTGTTCCACCAATTACCCGCAGTGATTGTAATTAATTACGATCACGTAGGGTGCCTACCAAACTAAATTTCGTACATAAATGACAAAATTATATCTACTGTGAAT